GACAGTGTGTAAGGGCTAACAACCAATTACAAATTTAAACGATGGACTAACTTCTGTAAATTTATGACCATGTAAGCGTACATAACATATAGCACTACTCCATATCCACTAACAACGTGTACCCTCAATAGAGAAATTTTAATATCAACTATACCAAAGTTTGTATAATACATTCCAACTCATGTAATTACTTTTTTCTGCATTATATCTAATCTCTCTTTTATATATATACATAGTCAAGTAACTAACACCTAACATGATGTACATTTTTGTAAACTGATTGTATCTCGTAGATCACCTTGTGTAAGATACTCACCTTGTCCAATTCGATTGTGTAAGATACTCACCTTGTCCAATTCGATTTAATGTAAGATACTCACCTTGTATCTCGTCGATCACCTTGTCCAATTCGATTGTGTAAGAGGGTAAGCATTATAATGTCATACATTGCTGCTGCAAAATTCAGAACTAGTGCACTACTGGAGTAATTTAAAGTTTTGCAGCAAAAAAGTTTAAATTTGTTCTTTTCTGATGCAGAGAGGAAGGTCTTCAATGAAAACCAATGCTGCTGTAAACAAGCAAGGTATAATTCCCTTTGTACCAAATGCTCAAGCTACTCTAAATGGTGGATCTCAAGCCGAAACTTCTGTTAGCATTAATACTGCTGCAATAGTGGCCTCTAACACTATAACCAGCAGTTTCTCTATGATGTTTTGAGAGTGCTAAAGGTTCCCTGCAATCCTTGCTTGTGGTATCTGAAGTAGTTTAGGTACTAGTCTTCTTAGCTCCTAGCAATACTGAAGCAATGTTAGCTTTTGTGGACAATTTTTTGATAAGTGGTGCAATGTGCATCTGATTTATATTTCCTGCCACTTATGGTGCTGTTTGACTAATCTTAGAACTACTTGTGTATAGTTTTGTGCATTGCAATTCTCACCATCTAAACAACTAGTTGTAGATGGTGTTTTTGTTCAGAATTGGATTGCAATATAAGGCTTACGTATCATGTTACTAGACTGATCCAATATAGTATCATGGACTATGTAATTAGTGGAGAAGGGGCATGGACGGTTACTGCTGTTAAAGGTAGTATAATTACTCGCTGTTATTCTAGTGTTACAACGTGTACAAATGATATTACACCGTGATAGTTTTCTAGTGTTACTCTAGTGTTATTCTAGTGTTACAACGTGTACAAATGTTACAACGTGTTATTCTAGTATTACAAATGTTATTCTAGTGTTACAACGTGTACAAATGTACTTATCAACTACCCTGATAGTTTTTGCTACGCAAGCCACCCCACTCAACCTCTTTTAGCCAAGATATATGTATACTATGCAACCAGATTTTAAAAGGTGAGAACTTTAATTCATCAATTGAGTCAAATTTACAAACACTTGGCATGCATAAGTTCCCTGTGCATACATTCTTTAAGTTGGCTCTCAATGTATCTAATTTATGCTACCCATATGATTTCCTTGTTTAGGAGTTTTCGCCAGAATTTCAATTTCATTATTCATGTCACATTGTCTTAAAACGAGTTGTACAAACAAAATCATGCAAGTAAATTCATCCCCCTTCTGTCGTAAAACAAGCCAAATAGTGCAATGAGTTTGCAATATTCTTACCTTTGGGGTTTAGTCCAATTCGATTGAGTCTATCTCTGCTTTAGATCTCACCAACTTCCGTCTTGTTGCAGCCTTCATGAAAATTTTTGTCCCGCAACAGTTACTTCTGCAACACTATACACTTTCTCCAAAAACCTCTCATCTGAAACTTCCCAATTTGGGGTAGGGATATTATTTTGCTGATACTCTGGAATTGTGAATGAATGTTCACAAGATATGTTTTTGGAGGGAGACCAAAATTCTATTTCATTTGAACATTTCAGATGAAGAGTCGTGCCTCATTAATTTGAGCGGGAATTTTTGGAACGGAACAGCTGAGGTATTTTAACGGAGCCCGTTAGCCCCTCAGATGTTTTTTTATTTTTTTTCCTATTCACTCACTAAAACAACGTCGTTTTCCTTTGCTGTTGCTCCCATTATACGTGGCCTATTGCAGTCCTCTCATTTTTTTTTGTGAGAGGACCGCTCTGAGGACCGTCCCTGCCCCGTATCCGTTGAAAGTTGGGTTGTTGGCGTAATTTGTATCGTCATATCATATGGAGTTGACTTGTGAAGGGGTACTGTTGGCATTCACGTGCAAGTTGCTCTGGCCGGAAAATTTTTGCTTTTGAAGCATCACGAACCACCTGTTCTGGCTGAATAGCATGCAGACCTCCGAAAGTATTTTAAATCAACCCGACAAGAGAATAAGAGGAAAACAACGAGCATAAATTTAGAAAATTGCCTAATGGCGGAGGCAGGATTTTAAGTTAGGCGGATGGACTTATATGTGTAGAAAATTGTCAACCTACGAGCATAAATTTAGAATCATGGTTTTTTTTTTATGATTTATTTTGACACCATGATGTTTAGTTGCAACTCAAAGTAAAAAGTTTTTACTTAAATTTCTATTATTTTTCATTAGATTATTTTAACAAAACAATGACAAGCTTAGGTGTATGAGAAATAATATGGTATATATTCATTATGAATCAAAACATGCATTAATATATTTCTTACAATCACTACTCATTTCTCTATTTCCTCATCCTCGCAATCTGAAGGATAAAAGGTATAATTTGACTATTCCATAATATCAAACTTTGAAAATAAGCGTATTTTTAAGTGAAAATTTGAAGTGCACAAATAACATTTGCTATTTGGATGTAAATCTTGGTTTTATACAAGGACTTAATTATGAAATTTGGCAAATAAAAAATGAATTAGAATGCAATAACTAATTGAAAGGGATGAGCAATTTAACATCAAAGAAATTTTTCTTCACATATATTATTTTAAACTAGTCAATATGTAATGCTATAAAATTTAATACAAGTTGAATTTTATGAATCAATTAACTAAATACCAAGGTCAAAAATATTATTCTAGAGAATAATTTTGTTACAATCTTAGGAGCTGAAAGAAGGACTTTCAATGAAAATCTTCAAAATTTCTAGGGGCTAAAAGGAATATGTTGAGATTTGGAGGGAGGAGGGCTAGTTGTCCCCTTGGTCCTTACTCCATACTGCCATCCCTTGACGACAAGAGTTTTTTTTTTTTCCCACATTGATTTAAATTTTCTCTTTTAGTTGCATTAGATATATCCTTGCTTTTTGTTAAAAAAATTTTGATTCGACTTCCAAGAAGTTTTTTTATAGTCTTCCAATTTCAACTCATCCAAAATCGATTTACTAAAGAAATAAAGCATTTTCTTTCACAAGAAATATCCTTAAAAAATATTTTGTACTAACAACACCAATGTTAGTTTTTGCTTGTATGAGGTATAAATATAACATATTCTTTTTGGAAGAATTGCACAATATTCAATATCTTCTTTGATCTTGTTCTATACATAATTTATGCAAGAACCTTTGCTGGCTTGTGGCATTGCACAAGAAGAGGCTCCTTTTAGTTTCTAATTTTTTTTTATCGCAATGATAACATTTTTATAGTCTAATCTATCTTATTATAGGGGGAGGAGAAGGGGAAGGCTAACCGACAAGTCACTGAAAATAACAAGCCACATATAGTGACAAGTGTTTTGGTGAAAAATAAGGTTTAAAGTCTTGATGGTGACCAACAGCCCAAACGACTGTTAACTTTTCAGTTTCTAATTAACAATGGATCGAAAGAGGATACAGTAGGCGGGGCAGGAGGCAGCTGCTCCCCAAGTTTTGAAAAATTTCTTTTAGCCCTTAGAGAATTTTGAGAATTTTCATTAAAATTCTTTCTCTTGCCTCTAGATGTTAATAAAATGTTATTGCCCCCCATTCACCTAACATTTGCTATACTCATCTTTTAAGCATATTTCACCTTGCTATTTGGTTAGTTAATCCACGAAGTTGAACTTGTTATTAGCGGTATTAGCATTACTTGTTGACTTATTAAAACTTTGTCTATTATGTCAAGAAAAATTTGTTTAAAGCTAAACTACGCACATTTTTTTAATTGGTTTAGTTTATTTTAGTTTTCATTTTCTATCTGCCAAATTTGATATTTAAGTACCTAGTTCTACATATATATGATTTGTTATATGTGAAGTTGAAACTAGTAAATTTGTATATTTTCAAAATTACTTTTTTAAATACTTAAAAACCAACATATACATCTAAGTAGCAATATTATCAGTGTATTTTCGAGTGGCATGGTGAGACATAATTGCTTTTTAAAATTTGATATTAGAGAATAGTCTAACTATAATTTTTCCTCTTAAAAAGTGTACGAATGAGAAGATAGAGAATTGAGTAGTTATGTTAATACATGGCTAATGCATATTAGGTTTTTGTTAATACATGCTAATACATGGCTAATGTAGCTTCCTTGTTGTGTTTCATACAATTAGGTTTTTTTTTTTCTTTTGTTTTGTTAAAATAATATAGTGATACAAAGGAGATTGTTCATATAGAAATGTGATTTTAAATTTTTTACTTTAAGTTGCAATAAGATATCAAGATTGGATACTTAAATGTTCAAAATAAAAAAGCATAGAAACCATAATTTTAAAATTACACATTGCACTTATAATATTCTATATATAAAAAAAAGCCTGCCCCCACCCCTCCCCAACAAAAAATCCCAACTCTTCCACTGCAATGGATAGTTATTTTTGTTAATCTGGAACCAGTCTTCTTGTTGCCTATTTGATCAAATTGACAATTAAAAAGATATTCTTAATCCTATTTACAATTGATAGTGGTTGATGAAACATCATCTTGTGTGTATACATACATACATACGTACATATACGTATACATATACATATAAATCGCCTACTGATGATTGACATTGTCAACTTCAAACCTATGATAAGCAAAAGTTAAAAACAAACCAAGGAAACCCTAAAGCTGACAGGAATAAAAAATCATTTATGAAAAATAAAACATTTGAACCTGTTGTTAAGAGATTTTTAGATTTCTAATCTCAGAATGGAGTATTACATGGCATTAAAAGAATTGGCATGTTTATATGCACTTAAATGAACAATGTAAAGAAGTACATGAAAATTTTGTGCAGAAGAATGGACTTTTAACTGCTACAGATACAGAGCCCAACTTTATCCCCCCAGCTCTAGTTTTAGCATCTAGAGCATGGGCTAATTTGCAGAGATCAAAAGTAAAAATCAGGAACTTTCTTCATTCCTACAAAAAGGCTCCTAACCACATTGATGCGTTCAACATCTAAATCAGTAGCCAGGCCCCCCAAAGAAAGTTTCCAATTGACTTTTCACTAACCACCAGATTATGTCAGCCTAAGGTTCACTGGTATTATTAGGTGCTAAATTCAATGCAACTTCACTCATAACCGGCATACTCTGTACATGTTCAAGGAGTTCTGTTAGCACTCTATGAACATGATTGTAACGCTCCTTAGAGATTGATGCTTCACAGAACAGGCTTGAAGTAAGGGAATGAAAGGCCTCAGACAGCTCATTGCCGCGGCTTTCAATGATTTGATCATCCAAAGGAACTAAGGAGCTCTGCAGTTGCCATCGTATTGGAAAATATTTTTCTGGAATCTGAAAGTAGTTCTTTACGATGAGCACACGCAGGGAATGTCTGCACAAAATCCCAGAATGTTCAAATTCCTTGCATGAGCAGTGAACTTGCTCGTCTTCAGGCATCCAGAAAACAAGGCATTCTCTTTCCATTTTCTTATAGTGCCTCACAAGATATGAACCATTAGCCATTTCAGTAAGAGAATACTGCATAGATAGCATAATTTCATTCTGTGCCACATTAAAGGCATAAGGAGTTAGAATACTCCTTGCATGTTCTTCAAGTGGCAGGCCAGTTTTCATGGGCAGATACAGCATCTCATCCTGGTTCTGATATCCAAAGCTGGCAGCGATACCAACCTGCAAAATTCAGTAGTTGATGAAAAGCTTAAAGAAATTTAGAATTATAAAGTTTCCAAGAGCGTTCGCTCAATAATTTTGCACAACCTTCAGTAATGAGAAGCCTCTTTGGTACCTAGAACTCAATACTGAGTAGTAGGAACTGATTTACAATTTGCTAAATTTGTATCAGAAAAGGGTATTTTGATAATTTAGTCTTTTCCAGGATTCTAACAGTAGTTATTTTTAATGTATTGCTTTCTGCTGGAATAAATTGAAAAATCCTTCTTCTGATTTGAATTAGTATTAGAGTGAGGCAAGGAACTGTACTCTTAGGTAAGATACAAATTCTAGCCAAAGTATGCATCAGTTTGAGAGAGAGAGAGAGAGAGCTTTCCCATAGACACTTGGGAGCCTCCTTGAGGGGTTGTATGATACAGCCTTGCATTTGGTTTTAGGCCCAGTGGTTTCTAGGAGTATTTACTAGAGTTACAAATGTTCTTTCTTGTTTTAATGCTTTGTATTTCGAGTTATGGCAGATCTATCTATTTTCAGCCTCATTTACTGCTTAATTGCAGCTTTCTACCTTTTCAAATACTAACTAAATTATCCTCCAACTCTGGGGGAATCGCAAATATTGCAGGACAAACAAAAACAGTGGGAAAGCTGAAAATGAAAAGTCATTAGGAAATGAACCTGCTCAAAGAAGGACTGCAGGCATGTTTGCATGCTCAATATATTCTTCAAGAATGACTCCACAGATTTCAAATACTCAGAAGTTAAGCTACGAGCCAGAAAGAAATTTCGGGTGTAGCAAAATGGCCATGATGTACGGTAAGAAAAGAGCAACGCAATATGCTTGTCTGAACCAAGTCCAAACTGACCAACCACGTGATTCCACTGATGCTCAAAGTCCTCTACATTTTCCAGATGACACAACATATCAAACCGAGGTCTGAATTCTGCATATTGTGAACCAAGTGACAAAGAGAACCAACTAGATAATTTTGAGAGAACCTGCCATACACATATAATGTGCTTGGTATTTGGCATCTCCATGGCTATAGAATCTCTGAGTCCTGAATCTATATCAGTAAGGATAGTCTGAGGCTGCCCTCCTCTCATAAATTGAATAAATACCTGTGCAATTAAGAGACAACAGTAACAGTAAGTGTGGGGTATGAAGCAGCATATGAAAGATCAAGGTTTCAATACAAACCTGTAAGGCCCAAGAGAATGACTGCGATGTTTCATCTTGTAATAGAGCACAGCCGAGAAAAATTGCTCTCCCATGATTGCTAATGCCAAACCAAATCCCAAGTAGCAGATTGTAAGTGATTGAACGATAAGTGGTGTCAAATGTAACAACATCACCAAAAACTGAAAATGCACGGACAGAGTCTCCATAAGCCCATGCAATGTTTTCTACTTTTCCATTTTCCTCGGTACTATAATTGTAGACAAATCCATCATTCTTCTGTGCCATAGCTTTACAAGCCTCAAGAAGCTCCTGGAGATCATTCTCCCTCTTCTCAGACAGCATAGCATCATTTTCTTGAACTGTTTTTTTACATGTCCTGACAAAATTCCTTACATCTTTTTCGATAAAAGGCAATTGACCTGGTTGAACACCCTTTTCTAACTCCAGCACCTTTAATATTCGATTCACGGGAAATCCAGCTTTAGAGAGTAGAAGGATGCGCTCTTGATCTGCCTCTTGAATTTTTCTATAGGCAGGAAGTAGGCGCACCTGATCATCTTCCAACAGTTCGTGGTTATGAACATTACTGAACTGAGAGACATACCATTGAGCTTGGCCATTTACAACCTCCTTTGTTAGGTACATTTTTGCATCACAACCACATCGTACTGATTTTCGATCCCTTGGATGCTCCACATTGGCTTTCTTCCTAGGTTGATTAAATCCTGAACGGTAACAAACAAAATCCCTTCTATAAATCCCTAAATTTTGGCTTTCTGTTGAACGGGCTTTCCTAATTGAGAATCCATTCTTTCGAGCAAAGTTGCTATAATATTCAAAAGCTTCATCATCACTTCGAAATATCTGGCCAACATAAGGAGTGAAAACAACTTCATTTGACGAAGAAATTGTCGTTTCATTCTTCATAGAATGCAATCCAACTGTCGGTTGGTCATCTCCTTCGTACTTAATATAGCACTTCCAATCTCCACAAGGGCATTGCTGCCGTCGAATCCATATATTATTCAATGTCTTCACGGCCATAGTTAGAGAGAAATCTCTATATAAATATAATATCTGAAGTCCCAAGTCTGCCACTTGAGCCCTTAAACCCCCGAATCTTGAGAAGTCAAATTTCTTGATTCCTAGCACAATACCACAAGTAAAATTACTTTAGCATGGAAGTTAAACCGCCAGTTGCTCATTTGCAGAGAGCTCAACATGTAAGAAAGCCAAAATTATTTCAATTGACTACACAAAATTGCAGAGAGTTCAGCATGTAACAAAGCCAAAGTTGTTTCAGACAACTATAAAATATTTAAAAAAAAAAACAAAAAAGAATTGCAAACATAAACATTTCAATTACGGTACAACGGCAATAATTCAAAGAAAAAGCACTTAATTACCACTCCAGTTTTCTTTATATCATTCCTTCTAAAATGACAACCGTAATGTCGTGTCAATAGACCCATCGAACCTATTTTATATAGCTCTAATTACCAAAAAAAGATATTCCCAAGATTAACAGATAATTAACTGAACCCAAAAATAATAAATATTCAGAAATACTGAAGAGAAAAAGGACTGTGCACTGAAATATATTAAGGTGGATTAAGCATAACAGGGATGCGTAGAAGATGGAAATTATCTGAAGATAATGATGACGATCATTAGCGTAAATCCTCTGAGCAACCCTCCTTTGGTTAGTTGATCTAGTTTTCAAATCTTCTAATTGCTTTATGTTTCACCTTTCGGCTTTGGGTTCTCCAAGTTTCGGCAATAGAACTTGTAAGCCCATTTTGGGCCTTTAGACCTTTAACCCAATCAGCAGCAGACAATGGATAAATAAGCTAAGGACGGCTGCAAAAGAAAGAGCTGCTCACTGAGAAATTCATGCTTGACCATGCCAAGTGGTCGCTTGACTTCCAATATGGTTTAAGTAAAGCTACTAGAACACCTTTGTATTTGGCTTGCAAGCTCGTAAGCAAAATTGAGCTTTCACGTAAAATTGGTCAACAAGTTAAATTTAGAATTCCTGGGCAGTAGGTTAAATGCTCAAAGCATTGCATACTGCAATTTAAAAAAAAAAAGGAAAAAGAAAACAATCTAAATGGTGTGAAATAGCACTACCCTTGATCTAGATCGATGCCTTCCCTCTAGCCCCTTTTAAAACCAATTGGGTCCACCCTCACTCCCCAGTTAGAGTAGGATAGGTGTTGCCATTTGTTATTGTATAAAAAATAAGAAAATATAGTTGAAAAATATAGTTTATTTTAGTCTCTTACCTAATACAGTGTCTTCTTTAAATCCTGTAATGTTTCAAATAGGCCAATTAAGCTCATTACCTATTCAAACCTTACTATTATGTACTCTTGAGCCCACATGAAATCATTGAAATGACTTAATTCGTCAAGTATAGATAAGCTAAGGACTACATTGACAAAAACTGAAACAAATAAGGATCAAAATGGGACTATTGCATACAATTTACAGTTACTGATATAGCTTTGATAAATTTGGTATAGGGTTCCTTTAAATTAAGATTTTTGAAATTTGTTCTGCATAATGATACTATAGCGCTTTCATGGTATGATCTATGTGAGATAAAAATTTAACTGAAATAAACATCAAAAACATATGTGCCAAATAATACAAACAATCTTTTCCAAAGAACCACATATCCAAGCACACCCATAATATTTCTTCAATAGGAGAGGGAAATATCATAATTGAATGGATAAACCTTACTATTGTCCTTGACCAACCAACTTATCTTGTCCAATTGACCTTGAAAATTTGCTTTTAAGCAATTATTTCTTGCAATATCAATAAAATTTTTCTACCAAAAATTTTTGGCCAATTCCAAAAAGCATTAATTTTCTCTACAGTTATCCTTCCCTTTTCACACACATGAAAATAAAGATAAAAGGGAATATAACTAGAATGGACTATTTATCTAAAGGGTACCTGATATGCATTTAAGATGATAAACTCAACAAAAGTCACATTATAATTAATTAAAAAGGGGGGGGGGGGTAGGGTGGGGGAGGCAACAAATTGGTGCATCGGTTAGGATGGTAAATTGTACACATACGGGTACATCCTTTACCCCTCCCTTCCCCCTCACCGACCCACTTCCACCCTCCCCCGCCACCTGCTTCCCCCTAACCTCCCCATTCCCCTCCTGCCCTCCCTTGTTCCTCCAGCATTTCCCCTCACTATGGGGAAAGGAGGTGGCGGAATAGAGAGCTTTTCTCATCAGATAAGCTTCTCTATGTTTTGCGGGATGAAATTCTCTCTCTTCTGCTAGTAACATAGTATAGCTCTCCCTCGACTTTCGTTGCCTAAATTGTTTTGAGCAGCCATTTCATAACATTTATCAGACATCCTAAATCTCACAATTAGAAGTAGAACGTTGTCAAGAAACAATAAAGAAGCACACTAATAAGGATCACAAATTAATGGTAAGTGTAAAGGCATAAATGGGAAACAAACACAACAAAGAAGATACAATTACGCATTGTTCTAAAGAAAAGGCAAGAAACTTTCAAGCTGGCATAGAATTGCAGGGAATTTGATTCAACAATTGTACAATGTCAACTTCTACGTAAACGAAAATAAAGAAAAAACTAAATACCTCAATTGCATGATGTCATCTCAAGGAACTTGTACAACCAAATAGCAACCTAGTGTACATAGCAAAAAAGGGATACATATAAAACTTGCGCATACGCGCATACACGTAAAGAGACTTAATCTCAAGGCAAAAGCCACAAACACTTCAACCATACCTTGTGATAGGAGGCCCAATGATCTGCACAACAATCACAAAAAGAATAAAGTTACTAAAATTTAATCTCTAAACAAAATTGATAGAAATGAAATTTAATGCTCAAAATTATAATACAACTGAATGCATGAAATAAAAAAAGAAAAAACATAAATATTGCAAAATCAAAAGAATCAATAAGAGATGCAAAATGGACGAAATGACCAGAAAAATACGATAAGAGAAAAAAAAATACATGGTGGCATCTTAAGGGTTGGAAAGGCATTAAAGTGCTGACAGAACTACTGCTTCATTGAACTCGACAATCAAATAAAAAAGAAAAGAAGAAAAAGGAGAAATAACTAGCAAACAGAAAATTAAGAACTGTTAAATAAGCATCGGTGAGGGCATAATAGTAACAATAATTGTTCAAACTCACTAAGACCATGTATGAAGTTAAAGCAAAACATAATTAGTACCTAGTTGAAAAGCGGAAAAAAACTCCTAAAATAAGGGCCCTAATTAAGCAGATGAAACGGAAGAAACAGTTGAATCGAAAACACCTACAGAACTAGGAACTAAATCTGTGAGAATAAACTAAATCAGAAATCTTTTATATGAAAAATTCTAAGGCATGGCAACAAACTTACTCGTACAAGAAATCTGTATGAAAGAACAATTGAGGCATAGCCATTCCACAGCAAGGGGAAGAGATAACTGATTGAAGAAAGGGACTTGTACACCTGCATCAATTTAACTATAATTCCCCAGTCCCCACTCATCTTTCTCTTCTTCATGCATAACAATCAGACAACATTATAGCCAAAAAAGACCTGCCTTAATTAACACAGAAGCATCAAAATTTGTGTGCATAGGCAGCATAACTGTTTTTCAATTTCAACCTTTTGTTTCTTGGGGAATTGAGCAAATAAATGAGAGGTTGCCCTTATCAAAACTGTAGCATTATCCCTGAATTACAAAACCACATTTCAAACTAATAAGCACATGCAAATCCAAGAATACACAAAGCTAAATAACTATAATCACCAAAAAAAAAATCAACAAACTGAAGGAAAACCTAAAAAGAAAAAAAAATTACACTTGAACTCTGAAGTCAGGTCAGTATGGGGCTAGGAGCTTAGGGCACAGCAAATATTTGAATGAGAAATTGCAAAATTGGGAAGTTGTGAAACTAAATCTATGAATCCAACTAGAGCAGGAATATCTTATATTGAAAGCTCTAATGCATTGCCACAGATGCAATCATAAAAGAAATCGCTATGACGAATATCCATTCCACAGCAAAAGGATAACAGGACTGATTGAAGAAATCTTGCACGAGAAATACACATGAACTATAATTCCCCACTCATCTTTTCCCCACTTTATATTCTACACCTCAAAACACGTATGATGATCAAACAACAATATGAAGTCTTTCTTGAAGCCATCCATTGTGCCACTATATATGAATTTCTGCTATTAATTTAAGACTCCATTAACCAGATTATTATGTTGCGGCTTTATAATATAAAAAACCATTTTTACCTATTACCCTACCTAAAGTTATCTGCTTATCATAGAAAAAACAAGGAAAAAAATAAAAGCACATTGCAGATACATAACATGGTGCTTTTACTTTCAAAAAGCATACAAGCATGAATAACACTAACAATTACTCAACATGTTTTTTCCTGTTTTTGCTCCAACATTTGTTTTCGAATCATTTGTTAGTTGGCTTTTGTTTCTATTAATGATAAATCACCTTTTTTGCCAAGAATATCTGGTAAAAAAAAACACTTTTCTCATGTTTGAACTCTTAACAAAAGTCTACCATTGCAAATTGAACTTTTTATGGTTAGTTCTTGATGTAAGAAGTGAAGGCAGTTGGCTGATGTAAGAAAGGAAGCCTAGAGTAGCACACCTTATATGATTTTTCCATTTCAAATGGATCTCCCATAGGGCGAGTTAGCTCCAGCTTTATAACTTTGAGAGTTCCTTAACTCTGTGCCAACTGCCAAGACAAATAGTATCTGACATTAGCTAACAAACAAATTTGAAAGATTGGAGATTGGTTACCACTCAGTAAACAAGATAGACGGACTTGTGAGAGAAAAAAGTAAATGATTACCAAACACCATCCAGAATAAGAAGGTTTGAAAACAAAAGTTACTTTTCATGTTTCAATACCCATTAGGTATCTACATAGGTGACCAAGGAGACAAAAAGAAACAATGGAGAGTACGGGAATTAAGTAAATAAGAAAACATAAACAAACTCCCAAGGGAGGCAGCAAGAAAAAACATTTCCAACACAAACTCCCTAGGCAAGCGGCAAGAAAAACATTTGCTACTTGATGACATTTCCAAAAATGAATACAAGTTTCATATGTTACTCCAACCTTATCAAAGTGGGAAAAAAAAAGAAGGAAAAATAGTTGTGATACTTGTGCTGTAAAATTCCAGGATTCAGCTACGTATATAAGACCTGAAGCTATCCATGTTCTTGTTGCAACCATATTTACTGTAACCTCATGCCAGGAGAAATCCAGTTTAAAAGGAAAGTGCTATATCCTTTTTCAACTAGAAAAATGTGACAAAAATACAGAATCCACAAAGAACAAATTATCACTGATTGTAAGAACAATTCATTCTTCCAAACTAATCAAATAATCTGTGTTCTTTTCAAGCTTTTTCCTAAACATGGAAAGTCTCTCCAATTTTTTCCCCCACCTTTTAGATATGCAATTCCAGCAAACCCTTCACAGAATATAGAGTTTTTGCTGGACATTAAGAATATCAAAATGGCAATGTCTCTTATGCCCTGATAGGGACACCGAACAACCCAATGGCTAACTAAGCTCCATTATTTGACCAGTACACTAACAGCAGAATGCCATTCTTAGTCATTCCTATCCATCTTAAATACTTACAATTCTCTCAATATTCTCGACAAGTGGACACCGAACAACCCAATGGCTAACTAAGCTCCATTATTTGACTAGTACACTAACAGCAGAATGCCACACTTAGTCATTCCCATCCATCTTAAATACTTACAATTGTCTCAATATTCTTGACAAGTGATTGCTGTGTGTATACAACTATTCCTGTTTTCTAGGTTTAAAAGAATACATTCAGTATTTTTTTTTTCATCTAGTCAAATATGTCGTTTACACGAACGCATGTCAGAGTGGCAGTTTTATAGGCAGAACATTGCTGTTTAAGTTCTGATTCATCCAACATCCTCAAGTAATTCAACTAAATAACACCATTCTGATCAATATCTGACTAAATCCAAAAGGGAGGGTGAAAAAACAAGGAATGGTTAAAATAAAAAATGTCTCAAATAACATCAAGATAGGTGTAAAGAATGCATATAAGAACATAAAGTAGTTCAAATTTCATCATTATGCTGTCTCTACAGCGGATACCAGGAAGTGCAGTTTGCATGCGTATATCAGTCATGATGGATTTAAAAGACATCACAAGAAACTGCATTACATTCTGAACATGAAAAATGCATTCTTTAGTTTGCTTGTTGGGAACAAATGACAAGTTAGAAGGTGAAGAAAAATCGTCAGAAGAGCACAAACAAGTACAGTAAAATAAACACACCTAGAAGCAAATTATCGAACATACAGAAATTCAGATTATCTCATGCCGATTAAAACAGGGCAGACTGGCTGACTTTTTACCAAGTATAGGCCACATCATTATAATTTTTCACTCACTTTCTTTTCTACCCTCTGAGCATTACTTGTTCACACAAACTCTCAGAAGCATAGAACTGAAACTAACTGCTATATCCTTTACCTCTTAATCCAAATTATGACAGAAAAGAAATCAAGGACGGGCCTGAAATCTTAAAACAGTAAATGTGATAAAAAAAATCTAATTTGTCAAGCAAAAATCCAACAACCAGTAATCCAATTCAAGTGACGCTAATCCATGGCTATATCGACACTGCACAATATACAAAGCATAGACATGTGTGAACAAAGTAGTTACTATGGCCCAAAACTCAACCTGATGAAAAGTTAACACAAATAACATATCGTGAATCATTAGATGGAGATTTATCATAATAACTGCATAAGAAAGCATCACCAAAAGAAATGACATAATCGATGAATAATCAGAGAAATGATCAATTATTCCAACCAAACTCACTTTTTCGAAGCCTGTTATTGATGTAACATGAACCAGCTACTTTTCATTAGATTCTTATTACCGGAGAAAGAGAAAAAATAATAATAATAATAATAATACACGTGAGTTGAGAGGAAAGCTTGACCAGGTAAACAAATTTTACAAATGGGGTTTTAATTCTATAATCAAATAAGCCAAATTACCCTACACAAATTATGCAGATACAAGGAAAAAAAAGATTCGAAGAGAACCCAAAGACAACCAATCACTGAACCCAAAAAAAAAAAAAAAGAAGAGTTCTACTTCCACAACCAAATCCTTAAAAGAAGGGGTGGGGGGCTTGAGGAGCACAACTTATTCATTAGCTGAAGAGCACATAATTAAGAGGCAAAAGCTAATCCAATCAACATACATGCTAAAGAACAGAAAAAAAAACCAAGAACCAAAATTTTTATTGAATTTAAAATTTTAGAAGTAATGTAGAGTATGAAATTTTATCTAACAAATTTGATTTTTGCAGAAAAAAAAGAGAAAATCACGGACCGCCTTCAGGATTAAGATCAATTTCTTGATTCACTTGGCCTGAGAGTAGCCTGAATTTTAGCTTTTATTGTAATCAAACTAGTTGCAGGTGGGATGTATTCAACTGTTCCGACAAGGGCGTAAAAATGTTGAAAGAGCAAAGATTGTTTCTAAGTAGAATGAAGTGCAGAAGCAACGGTCGGCAGCAGCGGATGGCCGGAGTTTTGGTAGGAGTAAGGACGGAGGCAGAGAGACGGTGCGGCTTAAAAGTAAGTTCTTGAATTAAATTAAATTTTGGGGTTATTATCACTTTACCCCCTTCAACTATATCGCTACTATCAGTTTACCCCCTAACATTATTTTTTAGTTACCTTACCCCTATAAATAATTCAATTCAACACGTTAAGAAATTTTGAACAAAATAACCCTTTTATTCTATAGCATTATTACATTGTTATTACTACTTTATTCCTTTAAATTATAGTGATATAATCACTTTAATTTCTAATATTATTTTATAAACATTTTACTTCATCGTTAATCTAACTAGTATGATAAAAAAAATTTAAATATGATTATTCTTCTTTTTCTTCACTTTAAGAGATCCAAATATATAAAAATAAAAGATTTTTCTCAAATTTCTTTTTTTACACTTATTAATATTAGGAAAAGAAAAAGAGATAGGAAAGTAGGAGACAGAAAATTAGATTTTGCAAAGAAAAAAATAAAAAGTCTAACATTATCGTATTAATTTATGGTTATTGGGATTAGAATTGAAATCTAGTAGTAAACAATAAAATAAAATAATTTTAAATAATAAAAGTATTTAATTCTTTCTTATTTGTTTTTTTTAAAAAGAATTGAGCTCTCTCTCTCTATCTCTCTCTCCCCCCTCCCTTCCCCTCCCGATCTTTTTATTTTTTTAAATATTAATAAGATTGCAAAAAAGAAAGAGATTAATACTTTGATTTTTTTTTATACTAAAGAGGAGAAGAGTCACTCTAAATTTTTTAATTATTTTTATTATATAAAAAGGAGGGTACTTTCTTCTAAAATTTTTCAACTTGCTAAATTGGTTTAATGGTGGGATAAATTGCCTAAAAAATAACTCTATGGGATAAATTAATAATGAGGTTATAGTTTATAGGGGTAAAGTGATAGTAACTTTAAGGGCTAAACTTGTCTTTTTACTTTAATTAATAAACTCCGTTAAGTTTGACCGCTAGTTTTAGGGGTAAAGTTAGGGTTGCAAACGAGCCGAGCCGAGTCGAGCTTTGAGCTAATCGAGCCGAGCCTTGACTAAATTTTACCAAGCTCGAGCTCGAGCTCGAGCTCGACGAGCCGGCAAATTTCGAGCTCGAGCTCGAAAAAAAATATAAAATAAATAAAATAATATTTTTTTCTTAATAAATAATAAAATATTAAGGACATATACGTAATTTTACTATGAAAATAAAAAATAAAAAAAATAAATATAATATACGTAATTTTATTATTAAATAAAAATATATATATATATATATATATATATATATACCCAAGCTCGCGAGCTGGCTCGCGAGCTAACGAGCTTAATATTCTGAGCTCGAGCTCGAGCTCGAGTTTGACTCGAGCCGGCTCGAGCTTGACTCGAGCCGCTCGCGAGCGGCTCGATTCGTTTGCAGCCCTAGGTAAAGTGACTAAAAGATAACATTAAGGAGGAAATTGATAGTGGCATCGAACGTTAAGGGGGTAAAGTGATAATAATCCTAAATTTTGAGAAAGGATAATTTTAGAAACATCCCTCCCCCTGAGGTTTTCCATAATTTCACTTAGACCTTCTCTTATTTTAAAAATTACAATTGAATCATAAAGTTTGGACTTAGATTTAGATTTAGATGAATAATAATTACGATAGCATCATGATGTTTAGATAAATAAGAATCATAATAGAATTGTCATGATGTTTAATCGTCTTAGATATTGTACTCATCCACCTTAGTGTTAATAGCATGCTTTCATTTTTGGATTTTCTAATATAAAAGTCATTTTAAAGGTAATAACACGTATTTTTCAATTTTACTATTTAAAAAATAACTTTTCTAAATCTCACTCACATTAAACAAGGGTATATTTTGAATTGAAATAATACATATATAAATTCATCCACTAGCATATTATCTGGATATAATCCTTACTTCTATCTCTAAAAAATTGGAATCTAAAAAAAAATGTCTCAATATTGAGATGGGGTGAGTCTTGAACTTAAGGTTTTGTCTTTGATCCATAGGTACATTTAAATGTCCTCCCCTAATCAATCAACCTTGGCCAACGGTATTGTTAGAGCAAGTATTTTTCGTCAGAACATTTTTTCATAAAATACCAAAGTTACCTTTACATGTGTCCTTCTAAATTGAATGGGCCCTACCCAAATAAAATCTTCTTCCTCTCACCTCCTACCGGGGGGAGCCTACTTTACGGGGTGGCCCAACTGAGTCGGGGGAACCTGACGGGGACTGAATCACCATCAGGTAAGGTTTGAACCCTTGACCTCACACCCCACAATTAATGTGGTGGCCAACTCCTCTAGAGGGAGTTGGTTGCTTGGGCTTTACTTGGATTAGATATTTTTGGGGTATTTTTCAAAAATTTTACTATAACTATATATATATATATATATATAAACATATATAACTTTACTATAAATACTTTTGAGTGTTTTAAAGTGTATTTTTAGGGGAATTTTGTATTGCATTTTGGGATATTCTTAGAATTCATAACTCTTTTAGGGTATTTTTGAAAATATTTACACCACCCACTGCCACCAGCCCTTCTTTTCGCCTCCATCTTCCTACTCTTTCCTTCTCATTCATCCTTCTTCCCCTCTTTTCCCCTACCCCCTAAACTCCATTTCTGGTTGCGACTAGCAATGTCGCGGCCAATGGAAGAGAAGGTGGGTCTAGGGGGCAAAGAAAGGGGGGGAAGGGGGTAGTGGGTGAGGGGAGGAGAGGAGGATGGAAGGAGATGAGAAAGAGAAAAAGAGCGAGGAGAAGGGAGAAAGGAGAAGAAGAGAGAGGAAAGAGAGATAAGGAGAGAGAAGGATGGTGGTGGTGAACAAGGGAGGGTGGTGGCAGTGGTAGTGGAGGGTGATGAGTGATGGTGGTGGGTAGTGTGTCAAAGAAGAAAAGTGAAATTTTTTTTGAATTACTCTAACGTTACAAACATGTGTGACCTCATACTTACAAATGCCTGTTTTATCGATTTTTAATATTTTGATTAGGACCCAATAGTTTTATTGATAAAAAAATAGACCATTCCCTCCCTCGCCCTCCAACCTCCAGGTTCTCTCCTTCCTGCAGCCACAAGTGATACCCTCATCTCCATTCTTCTTGCGCCTATCACTTTTCAGTTTTCTCATCCTAATCTTTTCTTGCTCTCCTCCAAATTCAAATCCCTCATATTCTATTATCAGTCTACAATCCCCCTCCCTCCCCTCCCCCCTCTCCCCAAAACACCAAAATGGTTGTTTCTATTTTCTTCTTCTCAATCTGAACTTGATGTTAACTATGCCTTTCATATCAAATGATGTTATTGTGCATTTGTGCTTTAAGAAAAACAAAAGTGATTTTGAGATGGAAGCATTTTTCTTGTGAATTTGGACTGATTATTAATCTTAGTTCTCAGTATTAATGGGATCTAAATTAGCCTTGTGTGTGTGTGTGTGTGTTTTTTTTGTACTTATATGCTTAGTTTATCAATTTGACTATACCCTGCTAGTTGTTGTTGTCCAGTAATTGGGGGTCTTCATTGGATACAAGTTGACTTTCGTGTCAAACAGTGATGGTAATTATGAGTATATGATTCTTGAGCGGTAAAAGTTGAGTAATTGGCTCCTCTATTTAAGAGATATTGGAGTTCGCATCAAAAGGTTTGAATAGTTAAGCATTAAGTACATTTCTCTTGTCAAAATTTGAAAAAGCTCAAGTGCAGCGGAATTCATAAGAAAAAAAAGGAAGAAAGGGAGAAAAGGAAAAAAGAAAACTATATTGATTATGTGGATCCATTTGGTTATAAGTTTGAAATTTTGATTAATGATTGGTCCATTCGCGGGGACAAGCTTGTTAAATATTTTATATAGTTAATTTAGTTAGCCGAATTTGAAAGAATTGATGGTGTTAAAAGTTAATTAGAGAGATGTCTCTTTGGTTTTCATTTTTGGTGACGAGACTTTTACTTCACATCAAATTTTTAAAATCTAAATATCCCGTTTTCTGCAAATATGCAGATCGTTATAGAGAATATTAGGTGTCGATTCCATAGGAAAGATTGTTAACTACCGGTGGTATTTGGACTCTTCTATTATTTAAACTCCACAAATAAAACAAGTAAATTTATCCTCCTAACATGTAATAAAAGTAGTAAAATTGACAAGAAAATGTGCCTAGGATTATGCAATTCCTATCTACTCATGCAAACAAAATAACCGATTAAATGAATTCATTATCTTGACTAGTTATGGTGCAATTTTCACATGCTTTTGTTGATATATCAACCATACCTATAAATATCCCACACCTATTAACATGATAGGTAACTAGCAACAAATTCATTAAACTCAATAAAATTACGTAAAACAAGTTACCAAAGCCACAAAGGTATAACCATACATTTGTGAATTAACTTTTTAGATTTAACACTTCCAAGAACTAGTATTGAATTACCATGGCTATTTATCAAATAATACCTTTAGATAATCACAACTAATGGCCAACTAATCGTGATTGTAATGGCAAAAGTGCTAAATAATTTACTCAAGAAATAAGCTCTATTAACAATGAAAATTTGTTATAAATAGTTGTGTCTTTCAAAAGATTTTATCCCATATTGAAAAACCAAAGAGACTTCCAATCATTTTATAAAGCTTAACTTCTTACTGGGCTTGTGAGGTGTCGAGAATTAGTATGCCTAGCGCACACAAGAGGGAAGTTGAGTTGGGTCAATCCAATGTAAACTGGTGGATTTGCACCCCTCCTACGCATGGGGTTAAGGATGGTCCAGTTTCATTTTAAATTATTTTGTTTTGCAACAATTTATCCTACCTGAATAGATGACTCTTTCTTGCAACTATTTATTTTACTTCAATGGATAGACTTTTAACTCTTTCCACAAACTATATCTGCAACAAATTTCCTACACATTTTCCTCCAACGCATAAAATTTTATCTGCAACTGAGTGCTACAAAAAATCAAGAC